AACGCCTAAAGCCCTATATTAATCGATTTACACTAAAATAGTGCAAAATATCTAAACGTGCAAACGCTGCACGGACGCACGGCACGCATTGGTGCTCCATAAACATTTTCGCACTAAGGAGTCGGTGCCATTTTGTTTTGTTAAATGATCCGGTCCATACACAGTAGTATAATAAATCTATGACCTCAGGCCAATAATTTATATTACACCAGGTATTCTAACTTTTTGCACGGAACCCTATCACAATTATTTTTCTAAAATAAAAGTAAACTAAGTTACTTATAAAAGCAGCTATCTGCAAGTGAAAGTCCCATCAAATTGGTCCAGTCATTTCAGAATTTAGATGTAATAAACAAACAGACCGATAGTCAGACAAAAGTTTTAAAAATTGTTTGCTGTTATAAATACCGTATACCATACTTTCTTAAACATTCAGTAAAAATGGACGACGATGGCGGGCAGCCTGCAGTCCCGAGGCACTTCGGTCCATTGGAGTGAGGCTCCTCGATCCTCCCTTAATGTGATACAAGGACCCCAGAGGAGGTACGAACATCGGCTTGAACCACTACCGAAAAGTGGGAAAACGGGTCGAAAAACTAAAAACGCCCCATATCACGGGTATTGAACCTCGTGTACGGGGTGTGCCTGTGACCTCGCGGTCGCCGGCGATTGCGGTTTGTCCTAGTGTTGCTAAAGAATACAATCCCGAGTATGTTTTTCAATCCCGAGCATTACGGAATTTTTGGTTCGTAATCTCGGGATTAGACTACTTACTTATTTTCTAATTAGGCTCAAATGACAAAAAAATTGAGTAATTTTGTAAAAAAATTTTTTAGTATCGTTGCACGTTGATTTTGTAAATAATTCAACACATCAGTTAAATCATCACTTCGTCGTTGCTTTATACGTTCAACTAAAGATGTTTTCATTTTTTTGGCAAGTGATGAGTTTTAGCAAAACAGTTGTTAACAGTTGTTTTATAAGAAATTCAAAAACAGCATCAGCTGTGCAGAAATCAGCATCTCGCCGACAGACGCTCCTGCTGTCAATTTAATTGGGGTCAGCACATCAACAATTTTATTTACCAATTCTAAATCAACATCTAAACGAATTGGATGATTGAGATCAGTAAGAGCTTTTTTAATGCAGGTTTTTGAAAGATAAAATCGCTCCCGGATTGTTAAAAGACTATTCCACATGGGTTTGCAGTCCAATAGCAGTGGCAGCTCTTGCTCTTCCGGGTTTAATTTTCACATATTTTTGAAGTACTATTTCATTTTTTAATGGTGATCTTTTGAAATACACTACAACTTTGCAGATTTTCTTTATCAACTTATTAATGTTTTCATCTTATGATAAATCTGGTATGTGTTCTCGCACTTCTTGCACTAGATAATTTTGTGATATTAAGATTAAACCGTCGTGCTCTAATCCAGAATCCCGAAACCTTTCAGCTCGAGTTACGTAACCGCTTTCAGTGCCTAGAAGATTGCAATGCAGTGGACGATATGAATGACAAGCTCGTGGAAACTGTCTATGCGGTCGGAGCTTGCAAGTTCTGCAAGACCCGCCGCAGAAGAACACAAAAACTCTCCGATCACACTCTTAATCTCATGGCTGTTAGACGGGAAATGAGGCTGCAATCGTCAACAGATTTGACAGCATACAGGCAACTGAAGAAACAGATCTCCAAATGTATGCGGCGAGACTTAAGCAACTTTAATACTGCTCGTATTAAAGAAACGATCGAGCGGAACCAGGGCTCCAAAGTCTTTGCCAGAGATCTGTCTGCCAGAAAGAACCAACTGTCAAAGCTGAAGATTGAGTGTGGCAGCGGGAAGAAAAGTTACAGTCATGGAAGTGTAGTAAATCCAAGAGCAAGTCTTATCCGACACTATTCCGATGACATCCCGGACGTCAGTCTGAGCGCGATTAGAATGGCTCTCCAGCAACTTAAAAACGGCAGGGCTCCAGACGAGGATGGAATTACAACGGAGCTTCTGAAAGCGGGTGGAACACCGGTACTTGAAGTCCTTCAGAAACTCTTCAATTCCGTTCTCCATGGAGGCACTACTAAGGAGGCATGGAGCAGAAGTGCGGTGGCCTTATTCTTTAAGAAAGGCGACAACGCTCTCTTGAAGAACTACAGACCGATTTCCCTTCTGAGCTGCGCTGTTTTCGAGAGTCATTACGAATCGTCTCGCACGCAGACTCGACGACTTCCAGCCTCCCGAACAAGCCGGTTTCCGAAAAGGCTTCATTACCATAGACCACATACATACCCTGCGGCAGATTGTACAGAAGACCCAAGAGTACAATCTGCCACTTTGCCTGGCGTATGTGGACTATGAGAAAGCCTTTAATTCCGTCGAAATTTGGGCGGTGCTACAGTCCCTTCAGCGGTGCCAAGTTGACTGTCGGTATATCGAAGTGCTGAAATGCTTGTACAGTAGGCCTACGATGGCTATCCGAGTACAGAACCAGAGCTCGAAACCTATCCAACTGTAAAGAGGTGTAAGACAAGGTGACGTTATTTTCGCGAAACTCTTCACCGCTGCATTGGAAGACGTTTTCAAGCTACTGGACTGGAAAGGATACGGTATTAACATCAATGGCGAGTACATCACTCACCTTCGATTTGCCGACGATATAGCCCTTATGGCAGAATCGCTGGAGGACCTAAGCACTATGCTCAATGACCTCAATGGTGTCTCCCAGCGGATAGGTCTTAAGATGAACATGGACAAAACAAATATCATGTTTAATGTCCATGTCACACCTATACCGGTAGTTGTTGGGAACACTATGCTCGAAGTTGTTGACGAGTACGTTTACCTGTGGCAAATAGTCCGACTAGGTAAGTTCAACTTCGACCGAGAGGTCAATCGACGGATTCAACTCGGCTGGGCAGCGTTCGGGAAATTACGACACATCTTCTCGTCAGGTATACCTCAATCTCTGAAAACTAGATTGTACAACCAGTGCGTGTTGCCAGTGATGACTTACGGATCTGAGACGTGGTCCTTCACTGCTGGCCGTATGAGGACGCTCAAGGTCGCTCAGCGAGCTATGGAGAGGGCTATGCTCGGAGTTTCTCTGCGTGATAGACTCAGAAATGAGGATATCCGGAGTAAAACCAGAGTGACCGACATAGCCCAACGGATTAGTAAGCTGAAGTGGCAATGGGCCGGCCATATAGTTCGAAGAACCGATAACCGATGGGGAAGAAAGGTTCTCGAGTGGCAGCCTCGTACTGGTAGGCTTAGTGTAGGGCGACCCCCCACTAGATGGAGTGACGACCTGGTAAGATATGCAGGAAGTCGATGGATGCAGGTGGCTCAGGACCGTGCTTTGTGGCATTACTTGGGGGAGGCCTATGTTCAGCAGTGGACTTGTGAAGGGCTGTAATGATGATGATGATGATGAAGATTAAACCTGATTCTGGACAGTCTTAGTCTTCTAAATGGTTATCATCATCGCTGTCGTCCATATAATCAACAGCCACATTTAGTTCATTCATAGTATCATCCGAGGTAGAGTTATCTTGAAAATAATTATGTTTTTCATAAAGCACATCACAGACGGATTCATTTTTCATCATTTTCGCCTCATATATCCTGAGTACTGAGAATACCATCACCATCATCATCATCACCTTTCAGCAGTCCACTGCTAGACAGGTCTCTCCCAAGACGAGCAGGGGCTCGCCTTAGGAGAGGCCCGTGTCCTCGGCTAAGTGTAGCCTGAGCAGTTAAGGTTATCATTGGTGAGATTCTTGAACAGTATATCCAAAGCCCATCTACATCGAGCAGAGTGTGTAGTTAGGTAGAAACAACATTGGGATAGAAGCCGTTAGGCGGGTTGCAGCAGTTGCAAAATTGCAAGCACATATAGTGCTGAAACATGGGCATTAACGGTTCGACTACTCCACCAGCTCAATGTCGTTCAACGTGCTATGGAAAGAACTATATTTGGGCCCTCTGTTCGATATGATTCGTACTGGAGAAATCCATCGGTGTGTACAGGTGTGGGGGAAAGTGAAGAAAGAGGGTAGTACAGGGGAAATCCTCCCTTACCCCACTTGCGGAAAAGTCTAGCTTATGAGTAATGATTCTTTTTTGGAAAACCATAACCTCACTTTTTTACACAGCAATATTGATTCAAAGTTGCTTAAAACAACTTCAGCGCTGCGGAAAGTGCAGCCCTTCGCTCTTGCGTATCAAATCGCAGACACCCATGTTCACTTTCGCGACTTTGGTTTATTGGTCGCCCTCGGCGACCAGCCTCAGCCGCTACGGCTTACACAGATACCTACGATTTGGTACGGCGGACGGGAACTACTCTTCCACCACGCCTACGGCTTTACAAAAATACTCTACAGAGATAGGGCAGACAATAAAGTCAGGTTGACCTAAACTCAGAAGAATTTTTATAATTTGTGGAGTCCTATGCCAAAAGGCACGCCGAATTAAGAGACATTTTAATAAAAGTAAAAACACATTTCCGACATTCAAAATAGTGTAAATGATTCATGCTTAATGCCGACAAGTGTCCTAAACTGACACCATAATTAAAATCATCAGTACTTGATTTTGATGACGTCTATAGCCAACTCCCCAAGAGCACTAACAAAATGCTCTGCTGCTGCTCAGGCCGGTCACATTTGTTGCGCAGAAGTGACAAACGTTGACGTAGGCTTGTCGTAGAATGGAGACCGCGCATAAGTGGAAGCCCCCTGTCTAATTTTATACACACTACTACCTATGATTATTTTAAGGATGCGTTGTTATAAACTATATTTCACCAGTTAATGGTGTAATGTATAAATAGATGACCTACCTCCGAGAATGTAATTTTGTCGGCGCCTATGCCCACTAATCAAAAGGCGTGTACAGTACAAAGCATCGTTTTCGTACCGATTAATAAGAACTAAATTTTACAATAGCAGCAACTAGGTAAATTATTGCAAAAGTGTTAACGTAAAAATAATTGTAATAAACCTGGGTTTAGCTGGTTTAGGCGGGGGACGCGCAGGCACCTGATGTGAAAATTTATACTGCCGTCGTATATCCCGACCAGCGATAATGGTCTCAGCCACAGAGGGAGGCGCACTGTCTGTGGCGTACGGAGGGTATGGTGGGAAACCCGGTGCTCCCAAATTGGCCGTCGCTAATAACAATATGGATCATTAAGGAAAATTTATAGTAATATGTAAAATTTATAGTGTATGAAGAAAAACTCTGCAAAAGCAAAATTAATATAGTTTAAGCAGAAGCCTACCTTCACCCAATTCAGAGACTGCCATTTCGTTTTCGGCAAAGTCCGACGTTTCTCCAGAAGCCGGAGCCATTTTATCAGCCATGTCTAATGGATATGAGGTATATATTTTATTAATAGTAGAGAATTAAAAAATATTGTTATACACTTGAGTGGTGCTTTAAAACATTTTATTAATGTCAAGCACAAAATCTTTTTAATCTTCTTTACCGAAATGTTATACTCTTTGAACGAAATTAGCTATGCTTATTTTGCCAGTACGTATACGCAAAATAAAATTAAAAAATACTTTATTATAAATCAAAAATGGCCAGGAAAAAAATTGTGTTAAATACGTTATAAATGCTAATAAATACGTATGCAAGTATTGGGTTATGAACGTTGAAGCAGAATATATCTGCTTCAACGTTCGTAGATAAAACTGATTTTAATGTGTAAAGTAATTAAAGAAAAAGGTTATTGTGGTTTTAATTTATACGAAAATCAGTTGAAATAATAATCAGTCGAATAACCGTGGCGTGGATAGCCTAACTTATTACTAGAAACACGGACGTAATGTTACACTGAAAATTTGTGAAGGATCATAGGTCTACTACTTTTTATGACATATGCGAGATACACGCACAAAAACGACTATCGATGCCAGTGTCGCGTAACCAAAATACTGGCTTCCACTACATTAGTTAATGTTCTATGATAATGTTGCCTATTATTGAACCTTGATGTCTTTGTTTTCATGTGCCTCCCGTATAACAAAAAAAAAATAGTAGGACCTAGGGAGTAGTGTATTTATACCAGTTCTGGTTCGTGAGCCATAAACACAAACCAGCCCTCGTGGGCTGACGGTGGGTCGAGAGACTCTAAAAAAAAGTTTTGGCGTGCTCTGATCACGAATACGCGGGCCATTTTCATGTAGGATGTGCGGTTCCAGAGATGTGCAGATCAATTAACTAATACCTAATTGATATCCGATGGGCCTGCGCCCTCATTAGCGTTTCGATTGTTCTCGAACCTTTCTTCTTATCAATTGTTCCTTGAGCACCGTCATTAACGCTCCTATCTATCTTTTACTAGTTGTAAACCCTGCTTAATCAGTTCTATTGTTCGTTACTACCACGCTATTCTGTCTCACCAATAAAACACATTCCTTAATTTTGATACAATTTTATTTCTAAAATGTTATTGCTTATTATCTATAAAATAGGAGCATAACATCTAATCCACTAAAACCAAATTCAACATTCCAGTCCCATCTTTTACAATTCCTTTTAAAAAACTCTAGAGGACATCGTGCAGGTGATCATCCATATGAATCAAAATATTGACCGATGTCATTCGTATCGATACATAAAGCTATCCAATGTGAGCCTGGTTTATCCAAATTGCATATTATATACGTTGGTACGTGGGTATACATGGGCAGTATATTAGCAGCATATACATTATTTTCTAGACTGGGATGAATCTTTTTCAGATGTTGTTGTACATCTAGTGTATCCCTGATATTACTGCTATTAGTTTTTTACATTACCAATCTATTCAATGGTTAACATAGGAATGATAAATTATAGTGATTTGTAAATATTAAATTCCTTTGTGATAATATGTAGGAGTCATCGGTGTAGCGTAAGTCGCAACACGACAGAATGCTAGATAAGCTTGTTGACTCATAAAGTTACTATCAGTTTCTCGAAAATGCTTTAGATTAAAATAACTTACTGGTACTATATAAGACTAAGCAGTTGCAGTCATGGAGTCAGTGTATAGTCGTTTGACCGCAGTGGATATATCAATACGACATTTGTGTTATTTCAACACGTCAATTGTCACGGATGTAAGTATGTCATGGATGTATTCTATTGACAAACTTACTTTTCTTTCTGTTGTTTTCTTACGTGTGTGTGTGTGTGTGTGTGTGATTAAGTGTAAACAACTTGATATTAACATGATATTAAAATGCACATAAACAGTATTACTACTCTACTCTCTCAACTCTCCCCTAAAGAAGGGGGGGGATGGCATCATCATTAATAATAACACTTGCTGATTGATCATTTTTTGAAGCTGAATCAAAAATAAAAAAGAGGAAGCTGTTATCGTCAACGGTAGCACGGGCCACTAGAGATGGTGTATCATACATTTCTACTAATTCTGACGACGGAGACTAAGCGACGCATCTCATAAAAATTGAAATGTACGCTATGAAGAAGCTATCCAAGATTCCAACTCCTGATTATTGGAAAAAGCTTCCTCGAGGATTAAATATTATGTAATAGGGATAGCATCTACGAGAGCACAAACGCCCTCCTATACAATATTACAAAGACAATAGCAGAAAGTGAAAAAGTTAAAAAATACTCTTTTTACAAACACAGTCATTATAGCTGATCATTAGTGAATGTGATTCTGTTTACTTAAATTACTTCTGTGTACTCATTACTTACATTCTATTTCTACATTTTTTTGGCTATAAATATCGGAAATTATTTGAAATTGGGTATCAAACACTGAACCGTTACTTACTCCTGAAGAGAATATGTAACTATTCAATAGCGAATTAAATCAAGAGTTGTCTAAAGTTTGTGATGAAATAGAGAAGCGTGAACTGTTCAAATCATCATATGATGGTGAGTTGTATAATCACTGTGCGATGGTTGAAACACAGTTTAAGTAAATAAAATAAACATAAAGTTATAAATATCGGACATTATTTGAAATTGGGTATCAAACACTGGACTGTTACTTACTCATCGTGTCGGTTACCTGAAGAAAATATGTAACTATTCAACAGCGAATTATATCTGGATTTGTCTAAAGTTTGGGATGAAATGGAACTGAAGCGTGAACTGTTCAAATCATCATATGATGATGAGTTGTCTAATCACTGTGCCATGGTCGAAACATAGTTTAAGTAAGTAAAATAAACATAAATTTTGATCATAATTTACACACTGTCTTATATCGTTTTTTAATAAATTTAGACACAATAAAAATATTAATTACTTTGCAACTTTCCGCTAACTAAATACAATGATGTAGCGGAAAGTTGCAAAGTAATTAATATTTTTATTATAATGGATTTCCGCAAAGTAACGCCTGATTCTATCAATTAAATTTAGACATTTTAACAATCAATCACTACAGCCAGGAAGAGGAATGAAGCGAAGGAGCAGCGAAGAACCCAAGATCATCATATACCAAGAACGGAAGAAGAGGCGTCTACCTCTGTAGGGAACAGTGTCGGTAACGATGATCAAGTGGAATGTCTAACGTGTCCTATATTTATCAAGAAAAGGTATTTAGCTAATCATTTTTAAAGTAATTTTAAAATTATGAATAAAGATAATCTTTTAAAAACACATAATTCTTTATCAAACGTTAGTGTTATTGAATCTGCTTTTGAAAATATGATTTTAACTTATAAAATCAAGAGTAGTGTAGATTGTCTAGCGGTCGCTGGTCTAGCGGTTGTAGTAGTGCGACTGCTGATCATGAGGTCCTGGGTTCGAATCCCGGGTCGGGCCAAAAATCAATTATTGAGTTTTTCTGTCAAGAAATTCTTAGTAGCTGCCCGGAGTCAGGAAGTTGGCAATGTCTCACCCCCCGTGCCTCGGACAGCACGTAAAGCCGTTGGTCCTGCGCTTGATTTCTCTCCGGTCGTGTCGGTTTACCGTCCCATCGGATTATGAGAGTGAGGGAATAGAGAGTGCACGTGTGCCTGCGCATACACTTGGGCACTTTAATCCTATCCTGCGCCGTTGGCTAGCCTCCGTTGAGGCATGCCGCCGTGCCCGAAATTCGGTCTGGAGGACATTATTATTATTATTATTAGTGTAGATCGTTCGACACGAGTAAATTTTGAATCTTCTGAACTATTTTTAAATTCTATTAAAGATGATATTTTATTTTTAACACAAGAGTGTATTCATCAACACATAATTTTTAAAGTAAATTTCATATTGCATGCTGATTTTGTGCAACAAACTAAAGATATTCATGATACGTTCGATTTTCAAACATTTAAATATATTATTTGTCAAGGAGATGACTTAAATATTTTTCTTTCATCTTTAAATGATACAGTTACTAGTAAAATTAGTACATTTAAAAAAAAAAAGATAGTGGATGGAGTCTAAAAACATAAAATCTATTGGTAGACATAAATGTTAATAAATTTAAGGCGCGTATTACGTACTTTACTACGTACTACGTAATTTTCTACGCGGTACTTCATACATAGATTTTCCCCGTGACATAAAATTAAAAAAGACTTATAAATGTAAAAAACGAAGATTATTTTTGTTTTAAATGGGCGTTACTCTCAGCGCTATATCCCGTAAGTAAAAACGTGGATCGGGTATCATCGTACACTAAACATGCAAATAAACTTAAATTTGATGGTATTTTCTTTCCATTTAAGATTTCTGACATAGCAAAAATAGGGAAATTAAATGATATTAGTATTAATGTTTTTGGGTTAGAATATAATAAAGAAAAACGATGTTATTCTATAGTAGGACCATTATTTTTAACAAAAAGTAGTAAAGATAGACATATCGATTTATTATTTTTTCCCCAAGGATACGAAAAATCATTATTGTTACATAAAAACTTAATCGCGGTTAGTTAGTAAATAAATTTCAAGAGACGGTCACGTCATGAACATTTGTAAAGCATGTCTACTTCAATTTCCATTGGAAAGGTTAAATAACCATGAACAATACGATTGTGCCCACATTTGTACAGAATGAAACAAACAGTAAAAGAATTTTTGTCAACCTATTTCAAATGATAAAATTAAATTTGATAGTTATGAAAAAAGTTAAAGATACCATTGGTAGTTTATGTCGATTTTGAAGCATTTTTAAAACAAATAGAATTATGTTCTAACGATCCATCAAAACCTTTCACACATAATATTCAGAAACATGAAGTACATAGTTTTGGTTACTACTTATATAAAATGTTCATATGATGATAAAATATCAAAGTATGTAACATATTGCGGACCTAACCGTGCACAAGTGTTTATGGAAAGTTTATCTAACAATTTAAAAGAAATAAATAGACTTT